AGGGGGCAGCAGCAAAGAACAGAAAACATTTATGCCCATCGGCCAGAACCGCAGTTCGAACCCCATCGAACCCTACACCACCAGCACTGCTCCGGGCAGGCCATCCATGGGGGCGGCGTGCGCGGCGCATCTTTCCTGTTGGGTCCATCAGCCGTGTTTATGGTCGGTCTGGGGTGAGTGAGCCAGCCAGTGTGGGTGGGTGGGACGCGGGCAAGCGCCCTCTCTTGTCCGAACCTGGTCCTGTCTGTGGTCTGTCCTGCTGGCATGGCACGGAGGGTGGGGACGGGCTCGCTGCATCACCACGGGTCTGGCAGGGGTCCCTCAGGCCTGGTGAGCCGCCCTGCCCGTTCCCTTTTTTTCTTTTCTTTTCTTTTTTATCCCCCTTAGTCTCTTTTCCGTTTTGGCGGCCGTTCTGCCTGCGCCCCATCTGGTCCTGCCCTTTTCGTCTTTTTCAAAGCCGCCCGCCCCCCTCACGCTCCTTTTTTCGACTCCTCTTTTTTTTTTCTTCTTTTCCCAGCCGTGATCGCCAGTCTCCCGCTTATCCCGAGACGCCGTCTTCCCCTCCCACTCCTCCTTTTTCCCTTCGCCTCTTCTTTTTCTTCTCACCGCAGTCATTCCCTTGGAAACCCATTAATCCCACCTTTTGAGCCCATTCGGAACCCGTCACTCATTCCGGGCGTCCATTACCTTCCTTTGGCTTAACCAGCTTGACGACTATCTCTTTTCGAGGTTCCACCCTCACGCGAGCCGGCCCCCGGTAGTCGACGTAGTCCTTCGAACCTGCCCCATAGACCTCGCTCCTCAAGGCAAGGACCACGCTCCTTCAGCACGTTCCCTAGCATCACCATTGAGCCTTGAGCCTGAGCTTGAGCCTCTTGATCGGCGGTCGACGACTTCGCGTAGCTGCTGGGACCCGACCCTTCCCGCCCACGCCACGACCGATCAAACCCCGAAGCATATAACCCAACCATCCTTATCAACATCTACACCAACACGCTCGATTTGCTGGATCTCTCGAGGCTTAATCGGTTGATATTGTGTGCCTGTATCCCATCTTTCGGGGGATCTCTCATCATCTTCCTCACCGTTCCGTCTTGGAAGGACGCTGTCGGCACACAGCATCCGCACTGCAGTTTCGCGGTACTCTCTCCAATCCGCCACCCATTACATCCTCCTCGACGCGCCCGAAATGGCCACCGAGGTCGACATGCCGCTGGGCGTTCACTCGCTCGGTGAGCTGGACCCCATCAAGATCGAGGACGCCAACAACGGCGGGGACTCGTCCACCCCCACCCCCGTCTCGGCCATACACAACAAGTCCAACCAGACACCGTCGCCCTCGGCCTCGGGCTCGACCCCTCAGTCCTCTGCCTCTCGCCGCCCGCCGCGCAAGAGCACCCTGACTCAGCAGCAGAAGAATCAGAAGCGCCAGCGCGCCACTCAGGATCAGCTGACAACCCTGGAGATGGAGTTCAACAAGAACCCTACCCCCGCAGCCCTGGTTCGCGAGAGGATCGCTGAGGAGATCAACATGACCGAGAGGTCTGTTCAGATCTGGTTCCAGAACAGGTGAGAATTGACTCGACTCGTCCAAACCCCCCGTGGTGAAACATGGGGTGAACAAGGTTCGCGGTGGCTAACGCGCGGTTGTGGCATAGGCGCGCCAAGATAAAGCTGATGGCCAAGAAGAGTCTCGAGACTGGCGAGGACATCGACAGCATCCCCGAGTCGATGCGCGCTTACCTGGCGATGCAGGCCATGGAGTCCGGCAAGGGCTTCCCCGGTGCCTTCCTCGGACGCGGAATGATGCCCTATGGCCAGAGCAGCATGCTCATGCCTGGGGAGCAGGGAGGCCCGAGCAAAGTTTGTAGGTGCACGACGGGAGGATGCAGAATAGCGCGCGTCCCAACTGCGAGCCATCTCAATGCTAACGTGCTTGATAGTGATCCACCATCTGACCTGCCGCTCTCTGAGCATCGGCAAGTGGACGCGTGTTGGCCAGAACACGATGGACCTGATCGTCTTCTACTCGCCTGACAAGTGCACCATGACGTACTACATCAACAACGAGCAGGCCGGGTACAAGATCGAGTACCACTTCTCGTGCATCAAGACCATCACCGTCGAGAACAGCGACGACCCAAACAAGTTCGGTGGCATCATCATCGAGCTCAACAGGCCGCCCAGCTTCTTCATGGATCAATCCCCAACCTCGAACGGCTTCTTCCAATGCGGTGACTTCACCGAGGACCAGCAGGCGTCTCAGTGCATGGTTCACCACCTCGGAGGCAACCCCAAGGTCCTCAGCGGCCAGCTCGCCAAGCTGGTCTCGCTCGAGTCCTTCATGAACCGCCACAACCCGATGCAGTTCGCCGACCCCATGGCCCACCAGATGCCCGTGTCCGCGCCTGTCTCGCCGACCAACCGCCCGTCCTCGCAGCCCAACTTTGCCCAGCCCCATGTCGGCATGTTCCAGGAGTCCCAGTGGGGCATCACTGGTATTCATCCCGGCATGCGTGGCCCGGGCCACAAGAGGCAGCGTAGTCGGTCCGTGCCGCTCGCCGTCGACTTCTCCATGCTGCAGACCCCCATGCCCTCATTTTACATCCAGCACCCGGGCGAGTCGCAGCCCCAGCCCCACAGCCCCGGAATCTTCTCGCCTGTTCCGCAGACGCCGCATGCCATGTCTCCGGCAGGACCTGGCCTCCGCATCGACACACAGGCCGGCTTCGGCTTGGACATGCGCCAATACCCCATGTCGGCAACCACGGCCCCGTCTCCCTCCGAGTACAACAGCCCCGGATTCTTCTCGCAGGCTCCCGAGAACACGCCGCTGCCGGCATCGAGCTTCAACACGCCGTACAGCAGCACTTTCCTGTCGCCCATGATGAACGCTACGAACCTCTCGATTCCCCAGTCCGTCTCACCAATTTCTTTTGGGAGCGCCGACCCGGCCATCGTCGACCAATCGCCCCCGCTAGGCATGCTGGGCCGCAGCTCCTCTGCCGACATCTACCCGATGCAGGGCGATTCATCAGCCATTTCGGACGACGGCAGCGGCCTGAACGAGATGTACTCCAAGCACACGCTCAACCTGCCCATGCACCCACATTCGCCCGCCTTTGCCGAGCATAGCCAAGCAGATATGGACATGAACCAGCTTGTGCACTTCGACCACGTTGACCCTTCCAGCCTCTCACCCGAGAGCGTCCACCACGGCGCTCCCCAGTAAGAAGATGAGAGGGCTCGAACGGTGAGGGCGCGTTGCCAACAACAGGGCCCTTTTTTTATGATGAGCTTTCTCACTCTGCGCTCATGGTGCCCGGTGCGACATGTGGTTGGTGGTGATGGATTTGGACAGGATATGACATATATACCCATCTGGCGCTTTTATACAACGGGGACAGGTTCTGGACCTTTCTTATTTTTCCTTGTCTCTGCTATTGTCTTTCCCAATTTTTCTCATCTCTTTGGCTGCGGCTCAAAAATCTTTAGCGTTCTTGGTTCTCCTTGGCTGTCGCATCGGCCGCTTGTTGGTCACTCCCCGCCCTCCCATACACCAAGTCGCCGCCCACCCAGGTGTGGTCCTGTTCGCCGTGTGTGTATAGGGGCGCCCTGGGTCATCATGTTTCCGCGTTTCTTTACGTCTTATCTGTTTGCATGATTTTCC